TGTCAAGGCAAAAGGGGGTACATGAAAGATTATAGTTTTTGGTAAAAATAAATGACAAAAAGTATTTTAAGAGCAAAATTGTCACTATTAAGAGAAGGACTACTATTGTCTATGCATTACATCACCGGTATGCTTTTTTGGGGGGAGGACACCCACAGCCTTCCTCCTATATACCAGCTGTCTCCTGTTAATTTTTGGAAGTCCTTCATTCTCTCTGCTTATAATCTGTGTGTAAATGTTATATCGCTGTGCAATGGAAGAGGTGTCCAGGCCCTAAATAGGACTAGATTAAAAATGGATTCCCTCAGAGGTGTACCGTAATGCAAATGACAGGTCTCTCCTCCCATCTGCATTATTCATCTATCTATCCTTCTATTTATTGAGGAGAGATATATGTGCCAAAATGGGTAGTTTTAGAAATTTACATTATGGAAGAGAACAACACTTCTGTTTTGGTCAGTTCTAACTATTCATTAGGAGCCTATTCATTAATTCAGAATAAAAAAGTTTTGATAATAACAACCAAGTGAGGTCCCTCATTTATTTTAAAGGGAAGAGAATCGCGTTGTGATGCTAAATTATGCTTTTAGTCACCAGAAGAAGCCTCCCCTCTATTTAATGCTAAGCAGCAATTTCACAGAGGTTTCAAAGGGAGGAATTAAAAACGCAAAATAAGTGAGACTAGGAAGAAAAAAGGTTAGGTTTTTTTCCTACTTGGAAAATGCTATATTTTTGTGTTATGGGATTTTTTTTTATTTCAGTATACTAATATATGGATATTTTTATTCTTTTTTTTCCTTGCCAACCAATGGCAAGCTCATTGACAGATATTTAGCTAAGACACCTTGCACAAAACAGGGAAATTAAATTAAGATTAATATAGATTAAGATTAAATTAAGAAATTAAAAATCAGATGGTCTATCATGCAGAAGAACAGCAAAACCTGTAAACTAAATATTTGAAACATACAAAAGAGCTGGGACACACCAGAAAAAAGTATCTTTAAAAAGGGCTAAATGACGAAAGATTTCCTAAACTGGCAACGTCAGTGTCCTCATCTGAACTTGTTGATCTGCTGCGCTCCTATCCTATGTGTGTGTGACATGGGGATGGATTTGACCTCAGCAGTGTTGAGATGGTGACTCATTGTGAGTTATTAAGGCAGAGGAGCAGGGCACTTTTGTTCAAAAAGGCACTTGACACACCACAAAGCATGCTTTCCAGCACTTCCTTTACCTGGAGGAACATTCTACCCTATAAAGATGCAGAGGTCCATTTTATCTAGGAAAGTGAAGGACCGCAGCTGTTCTTCTCCACTATATAGAAGAAAGGGAGCCCTGCCACTGAGGAACACAGGAAGGCAGCCTTTATCATGCTGAAAGCTCTGCACCTTTTCTGCTCTTATTACATCGTCCCATGCATACCCCAAAGAGCAGAGCCTGTGGTTCAATGTTGCTTTCATCATTTTGAACATTTTGTGGATGCCACTTTCCATATTTTTCTGAATCTAGAGAGACAGATTCTCCCTGCACAAAGAAGCAATGAGGTTTAGAGAAGATGGGGGGGGGGGCTTAGCAGGAGATTCTTTTGGAGAAAAGATGCCTGTTGAGTTAATCCAAGCCTAGCAGATCTGAAAAAAAACAAGTAAATCTTAAACAAGTAAAGTTTCTAGTCCATCTTTTGCAATCATGTAATGGAAAGCATGGACGAACTTGGGAAACTGGGGATGAGACACTGCCTAGGAAACAATCAGACAGGACAGGGAGGAGCCCCTAGTGGCTTAACGGTCAGAGAAAGAAACTTAGGAAGGAGCCACCTAATGGATCAAGCAGTTAAAAGTGACGATGGGAAGATAATAACTTCAGATTTGCAAAATTTAACATAGCCTTACAATACAGTAGAATTAGTTTATCTAGTTGTGTTTCCCATCTTGTTTACCTGGGAAGGACGACAAATCATCACAGTGTCTAAAACCCCTCAACTACCAAGCACCTCCTTATAGTTTCCATTTCACTTCATTCTTCAACTTCAGAACTGGCCTAAGATTAATGGACCAAGGTCATCTGAGACAGCAGAAATTAGATACTAGAATCTTGCCAGCCAAATGGGTTTTGTACACAGTTATTTTAAAGAAAAAAATTGAAAAGCAAAGTCAGACTGGGGTGAAATGATCCAATCTATGTTAACCACAAACATCATTAGGTTTTTTTGCAAACTGCATTAGTCGTACTAGTGAGAAGTCTAGCTGCCTTACTGTTTCGAAGGCAGCCTTTAAGTGTGATGCTTTTAACCTCTCCACTTAATCCTAAGGATTTAGCATTAGCCACAGCATGAAAACTTCTGTTTGTTATTACTGACTTCCAGCCCACTTAAAATATAAAGAAGAATTGGCTGCTATGCAAAGAATGGGTACTTGAAACTTGAAATATAGATACATATACATAGGTAAAAATATAGATTAGGGCTCTACAATGCTTTGGATTCTGCTCAGAAGTGGTTTTTTTGAATGAGTGTGAATACAACATCTTTTCACGCCTCAGTAAAATAGCCACACAGAAGCACTCAGAAATCAAATAATCCTGGAAAATGTTGCATCTATTGTGATGAAACCCAGACAGGTGCACAAATATTGTGTTTATGCTCCTATGCATTACAAAGTCTCTCTTTCAAATCAGATCCCAACCACAGCACAACTTTAGTATAAGTATAGAGATACTTCAAGTTACCATTTCTATACTCAGGGTATGAGGTTTACTTTGAATCATCTTGCCTTAAGTTTTGTTTCTACCAAAGCAATAGTAAAAATAGGCAGCCTTTGTTTCCCTTCATTTTCTATCTTCAAAAACAAACTGTAAGGATTTTTGCTACTCATTCTTTCGGGCCTCTGAAACAATATATTACCCTATAACTCTCCTATAGCTTTTCCACAAATCTCTTCAAATATGTAAACCTTAAGAGAGTATTGCTCCCAAGCTTTTTCTCCCCAATGTAGATTTTCAGACACAAAGAAAATTGGAGACATTTTCAAGCACTTTTCATTTATTTCCTTTTCTGACTTCTGCAAGTGTACCTCACTGCAATGAAAAGAATTTTCTTTTAGACAAATACATATTGCATTGGGTGGTAAATAGCAATTCAGTGTTTCAGAATCTTTAGTACCATGGATGTAATTATGCGTTATCAATCTCAAAAGTAAATCAAACACACCCATTTTTGAGCAAATATACTTAGGGATGGACTGAATAGAAGGTGATCTGAGAATGCAAATTTGATCACACACCTTGCTATTTGTGTTTTCAAGCCAATGCAAATCTTCATGCAAAAAATACTCACAGAGACAATAATACTTTAATTATTAATACTCAGAGAATTAAAGCAAAGACTTCACTGGTTTCAGTGGTGATTCGGGCAGCCCATAGTCAGAACAGTATACAAGTTCATACTGTATATGTTTGTGTTTGTGGCTCTTTGCTTTTGTATAAGAAACACACAGAGAAAGAAAAAATAAGTGACAGATGCAATATCTCTCATTCAAGACACAGGGTCATTTCAGAAATAACTTTCTGGCTATAAATGTCCAACTTTGCATGGATTCTGTGTGGCTAATATAACATATACCCTATCATTATAACAGCTGGTTGAGAACTAGAATATCTTTTTCACACTCTATACCAGCGTTTCTCAACGTTGACAATTTTAAGATGGGTGGATTTCAACTCCCACTGCTCTATACAATACTTAGTAATTTTATTAGGACAGGGAGGAAGGCTCTAGCGAGGATATTACATTTAAAGGTTGAAGTATTACAATATGTACTGGTAGAACTAAGATGTTGTTTTCAGATTAACAAGTACAGAATTACAGGTGCAGTAGTAGCCAAAATTGTGGAAACTTTTTGGGAAAAGTGTACAGTAGAAATGCCACCTTTGGTTAAGTTTCCACCAATTTTTCTTCTAATTTCTTTATAACTCTAGCCTTGTTCACTTAATAATATTATTTTACATAGCTTTCTGGGCAACCAGTCAACTCTTTGCACCATTACTTTAATTTTATTACGTTTTACAAGCTCACTAAATGAAATAAAAAAAAACCCAACCAACTTGATAGTGATCACATAACACACTGACAAATGTCCTCCTCTCAACTTCAATACATGACATCAATAACTGAACCCTACTGTGATCTGATTGGCTCATTGCCAAAATAAGATGACACCTGATTGGCTCTCTAAACACTCATGCTCATTGGCTACAATCAGATGAAGGAAAGCTACCTGATATCAACCTAAGCAAGTTGTACTTCCTTTTTCTAGTTATTTGACTATAACTTTTCATAGAATACAGTACAGATAATTGAACAAACTTTGTTGCATTACATTCTTGATTAAATTATCTTTCCACCGATATATAATTTTATGGTACTACTCCAAAAAAAGTGGTGTTATTAGCCATCAAACCTCAAAAATACACATTCCCCAAAAGGTTTCCACAATTTTGGCCACTACTGTATAGTCAGTTGGTATGTTTCACATCATGACTAAATAAGATGGACAGATAATTAGAAATTCAATTATTCCATTTATATTGATAAAGCAGCTTTAAGATCCAGCTCCCTTTCAAATTAAAAATGGAATAATTTGTGAAGCAGATTTTACTTATTTCTGTTGAACACGTTAGCTAAGGGTTCTCTTTCACTTCACCACCTACTCCTTCCCCCATCACAAACTCTAAAAAGCCTGCTCTCCAAGCTGTGGGAAGAAGCCTTATTTATTTCTCTCTCTCATTAGTGCTTCTTGGAATAACTATGTTATGACTGATGTGAAAATCATGCATTCCTCCTTATTCTATCTTCTAAGATGTAAAAGCAACTGTCATGCCTGCATACTTTCCTGCTTACTCTCAGATGGGCAGACAGCCCTTCAACACAGTGGAGAAAGGTCAGAAAAGAGCTAAGAGCAGGAAAAACTTTATGTAAGATAAGTTGAAATGTTTGGACAAACCCAGGTTGATGTGCAAGGAAAGTTTCCCATTTTGCAGCTCCAGGGTAATATAATCTCCATGCTGTCCTTCGCCGTGAAACAGGACCCCATCTCCCTGCATGCTCTTGAACTTCAGAGAAACCACGTCTTTGAAGGTGCTCATCAGCTTTTGATTGAATCTGTAGAGAAGGGAGCTCCTCCCATCAAAATCTGCAACATCCGATTCTGTGAGGAAAGCAAGCAAGCTTTAAAATGAGGATTCACAGGCATGGACACATATAGCTATACACATACAAACCCATACATTTCAAGAGAGAACATAACATTAACTGGTTTTGTGCTTTTACTGAACTCAGTTTGCTTTCTTAGGCTTTAGTGGAATATCTTATTTTGACATTGTTTTGCCTCCCAGAGTTTTCTTGGAGAAATGGTGCCCCTTAAATGGAATTAATAAACAATTCTCAGGAATCCAGGATTCATCTTTGCAGTTTTCTTTTAAAGGGTTACACAGAATCATGTTTTTATATTTATTCTTTTGAGCAGGGTAAAGTAGTGTCTATGCATCTTTATTACTTAGTTTTTATCCCACCTTTATTACTTTATAGATAGCTCAAGGTGGCAAACATAACTAATATTCCTTCCTCCTCTTTTTCCCCCCCACAAAAACAACCCAGTGAGGTGGGTTGAGCTGAAAGGCAAAACTAGAACTCACAAGACTCCTAGTTTTTAGCATAATGCCTTAACCACTAGACCAAACTGCCCCTTCCTTTATATTACAATTCTCAAGAGAAAAGCAGAGGGGAGGGGAGGCTTTTAGAGTAGAACTCATTTTGTGGCATGACAAACTCTAAGGAAATATATTCCTGGGCATTCTTTCAAGCATTACTTTTCTTTTAAAGCAACTGAACAAGTTCTGAGGGCTCAGGGCTGCCATCATCTCTTGTATTGTACACCATGGGCCACACCGTAAAACCAGCAGAAAGGAATGGGTGTAGTCCAACTGAAATTAAATAAGCTTTAATTGGCTTTTAGGAGAATATAAAAGTAATTAAATAGAAATAACATTAATGCTCAGCTAAGTGGTAACACTTAGCTGAAGATGGGTGATCTGAACGCTAAGCAAGGTCAGACCAGATTAATACATATCACAAAATTCCTGGGCTGAAGAATAGATTGGAAGGTTTTTTTAAAAAAAAAAAAAAAAAAACTCAGAAAAAGGCAGTGGCAAACCACTTATCTAATGTACAACACATATCAGAGCTGAAGGCAAGGGCAAACTACTTTTATATTACTGCCAGTAAAACAGCATGGAAGCAGTCATCAAAAATTGAGTTTGACTCGAGGGTGATTTTACTTTAATATGTTTACTTCCCATAAACGTAATAATTTCTCCCTTCTGTCACCTGAAAAATGGCTACACCTACTAGGATCTCCATGGGATATCTCCAAGGCTTTGGATGTTATAAGTGACCCTTCAGTATCAGGATATATACTTCTACTTTTTTTTTTTAAAGGTAGGTAGGTAGCTATACAGAAAAATGAATTGGCTCAGAAAACCCATCTATATAGGTTGCAGCCTACATAGCATCACATTAAAGTAAACCTTTCCTTAGAGGTATATGAACACCTCTGTGCAATCCTTCTAAAGCACATTTGAACTAGAATTTCAGTGTTTCATTTTAAATCCAGCATTCAGCATCGCTTGCTGGATCTTTTCATAATATTGGTAATTTTGTGTTTCGTAACAATGATAGGAAGTGTTATATACACAAAACTTCTTTTAAGAAGGGGGAATTTGAGGAGCAGATTTTTCTGGCCCCCATGCTTGGAAAAGTATCAAAGCAGATTGAATTTGTTAAAAAAAATTTCAAATGAGGAGGCAGACTCTTCATGCCTCTGTCAGAAGCTGCTAGACAGTTTTCAATTTGGAAAAGTAGCCTGGAAGAAGTTCAGGAATCTTGGAGAAGACTAATATTCTGATTTGTGTTTTGGGGCACTGAATTGATAACAGAACACAGCCTTGAGTAAAATGTAACACACACAAATCCCCCTCTCTACATTATACAGATAAGATTTTTTAAAAAAATCAACCAGAACAAAATGCATATACCAACTAGATGCCTAGTGAAAGCTAGAAGTAGAATAGAACAGAACACTTTATTGGACAAGTGTGATTAGACACACAAGAAATTTGTCACTGTACTTGCAAAACAATTAAGTAATAATAATCATAATAACAAAGGATAATAATCATAATAATGACACCAATAGAGAAGGTAGTGGAACAGATGAGGATAAAAATAATATAGCCATACTACATGGGTAATATATTTAGACATAAGACAGACCGTGGAAATTAAGTGTTCAACAGAGTGATGGCATGAGGAAAAAAAACTGTCTCTGTGTCTGATTGTTTTGGCATGCAACACTCTGTAGCAGCATCCTGAGGGGAAGAGTTGAAACAATTTATGCCCAGGATGTAAGGGGTCTGTAGATATTTTGTCAGCCTTCTTTCTGACCTGTGCAGTAGACAGGTCTTCAATGAAAGGCAGGCTGGTTGCAATAGTTTTTCTATCCATTGAAGTCTATACCTGTCTTGTTTCATTGCTGTACCAAACCAGGCAGTAGAAATGACAGACAAATATAGACATAAAAACAGGAGTACTCTCCCCAACAATGTCCTGGTAGCTAGAATAAATGTATAACCTTGGCCTCCATGTAATTATCCAAATTCCTTCTTTGACACCAATAATACTAGCTCACAATAAATAATATTCTAATTTAATTCATATTAATAATGTCCTAAATATCTCAACAACTTAAAAATATTACTACTTTGAAAAGAAAACAAAATCAAAAATATCTATTTTGTTGCTCCGTGTCATCTTATATTGACTGTTTTTTCTGAATTTACTGCATGTAGATACACAACCACTGTATTGCTACTTTTCCTCCATGGGAGGTTACTCTCATTCTTTGATCATTTGGCTGCCTTCTTCTACAATTATTCCATAGATTTCATGCACAGTGACAGTGACATTTTTAAATTTCCTTCCCTACGGATTCTTAGTATGAACTTTTGCTACTCCATACCAGCAGCTGCCCAGATCAATGTTCTCAAGGTGATATTCATCACAGCATAATTTTCCATGGCTCAGACCCTATTCTGTTTTCCGCCTCCCCAATAACCTCTCCAATCTATTGCCCTCCAGATGTGTCAATTACTGTCCTAGCTGGAGTTTGTGGGGTTGAAGTACAGAATGAGGAACACTGGGGTTTACTATACTCATAATATGGTATGTCAGTGGTTCTCAACCTGTGGGTCGAACGACCATTTCACGGGGGTCGCCAAACAAGGCTGTCTGCCATTTTTCCCCCTTTTCTTTGGCCACGCCCCTGACACCCAGTGATGTATAAGTGGCTGGGGGTCACCACAACATGGGGAACTGTATTATGGGGTCGCGGCATTAGAAAGGTTGAGAACCACTGTGGTATGTAGTTGAACCTATGGAGTATATGGACAGCTGAACTAGAAATGCAAGTGCTAGTAAAAGGCAAGAAGGCATTTGAGGATATTGAAGGAAATCTCAAGGTACACCTTTATTTTTCTTTCTGGATAGGGATTCAGGTTTCTGCATAGGGATTTAGGCTTGTCTTCAGAATGAACCCTCTTCTCTTATCAACAAGGTATAATAACTAATGGCACTGTAACTTCAGGATGAAAAGTGTACATACAATAGAAAGAAAGAAAGAAAGAAAGAAAGAAAGAAAGAAAGAAAGAAAGAAAGAAAGAAAGAAAGAAAGAAAGAAAGAAAGAAAGAAAGAAAAGTTGACTCTTGGACCAAACATTGCACAACTATAAAAATTATGTTGCCTTTACTAAACTAGGATGGGAGAGCGAGCTCAGAACTTCTGTCCAGAACTAAATGCTTTTGCTTTTGTATACATGCAAAGATTATGAGTTTTTATTAAAATAATAGTTTTTATGGTCACAGATAAGAATTCCAGATAAAAGTACATTAAAATAAATTAAATAAAAATGAACTAGATAAAAATATATTACAACTGGTGAATGGTTCAAAATAAGATACGCTTTTTAAAAGACTTTTTGGAATGCACATTTTAAAGAAAACTATAGTATTCTGTATATAAAAACTCAATTAAATAAAATCTACCAACTGTCACTATCAAAATGAATTGCCTCCAACACAATCAGCTTGTTGCCCGACCCTATACTTTACTTTCTGATTGACTTTCACTGCCCTGTTCTGCCTTCCCTTTGATATTATTACATGCTTCACTTATTCTAAATATCTGGGACTCTTAGCACTGTAAATTTAGACCTAAGTTATATTATTTCCTGAAGCCGAGTTTAAATATCCCTCTCTATTAGCAAAGTCAACACTTTTAAAAGCCTACAGGACATTCAGACATTACTTCTTGCCTCTATCTGCATTCATGGTGCACCCTAAAGGAAATTGCTTTACCCTTATATGTAACACAGTCTACTCTGATTCTGAAAAAAAAAGGGGGCTGTGGTTGGTGTGTATGTGTGTATGTGTTTGTGTGTGTATACATGAATGCAGGGGGGACAATCTGTTATTCTTTGTGATAGTCTAGCTATGATATTAACCAACAGCATCCTTGTCCTTATTATGTTATAATAAACCATCTGGCACTTTTTCCCAATCACTTTTCTTTTTTACATCCTATTTTCCTTCACCCCATGCTTCATGCTACCAGAAAAGCAAAGTGATTAATTGGTAGGTATCTAATGCCAAGCAAGAGGTCCAGACAAGGTGGAAATAATTCTGCTGATCTGGCAAGGAATAATTTGTTCAGTTTTGCATCCTACTCACAGATTCTAGTGGGAGTTGTCAATTCGATTTAGGCATTTCATTTAAGACCAGAAAAAGTATTTTAATGAACAGATTTACGTTCAAATAAGGTTAATACCAGCACTTTATCACTCTGGGTAACCTATTCAAAGGTAATAGTTAGACAATTGCAAATGACACGTATTTGCACAGAAAATTCTCAGACAGATTGTTCCTGCTTAATAACAAGGTAGAGAGGAGCTACTTTGAGTGGAAAAAACCCACGTAGACTGTAGTATAAAAAACATCTCTCTGTTACTTGGCAACAACCTACTTTGTATGTAGTGGTCACTCTATATAGAAGACATTTGTGGAGTAAAATTATCACAGAATGGGTTGGGGGAGGCT